TCTTTCTTTTTGGGTTTCCCCTCTGACTGCCAAACACGGCGGTGCTAAGGAAGGCAATTGTACGTTTTACAGCCCCAGGAGGAGCTGAGAGGCTGCAGGGCCGCTGTGATGCTGGTGTTCTCATTTCAATGCTGGGAGAAAAGTTTTGGTTCCGTTGTTCAGCGTTTTGCGTAAGAGAACGACAGCGCCGAGGACAGCGCCGGTTTGAAGAAGTTAAAGATCAGAGTGACAATACTAATGATTAGCATCATCAGTGGCTGCAGTGGAACGAGTGGCAACAACAAAGGCAGAGCTTCTCCTTGTTTTGTTTCCTTGTAACATCATATTTCATTCTAACGCTGCAGTATTTACCTGCTCTTCACCTGTGATTCACTGTTTTTCTAGAAACGGCAAACTGACAGAAGAATCAAATGTAGATCAGCTGTGTTAATCATGTTTTGTTCATGCTTGTGTCTCTTACAGGTGACTGTAACACATCATATTCTAGCCTCAGCCAAACCACACGATTCCATTTGCATAATAATAATAATGAAGCTCCTTTATTAAGTTCTCTCCTACTAAAGGTCCACTGATAAGTTTTTTCAGAAACAATACCAATATTGAATATTTGCAATCACTAGACTGAAAAACAATATTGATGTATATTTGCATAAAATAAAATATAATCTTTGCATCAAAATCTTAATTCATACAAAATCCAACACAACATTTTGCTGAAGTGTTGTTGTTTATTTATGTTGTACATGTGTCTAATTAAAAGAAATATGTAAATAATATTTCTCCTTTTGTGTTCACAGCCAAATTAGTACATTTTTAATTCCATTTATTTCATTGGAAATCTGTTTTATAAATGATGACACCAACAATCAGAAAAAAATGCTGAACATCAGATCTGATAAACATCTGAGCCTAGGTTTAATATTTTAGTCGATTGTTGTATAAAACTCCTTTTGTATTAATCCTACTCTTAAGACTTATTGGTCACTGTTTTATGCTGTGATAAGCAAATTTACTGTCAAAATAATCACATGCAGATCAGTTGTGCTGCAGAGAGGCATCTCTATGCTAAATGCCAGACTGGTTTCTCTTAAAGACAACTATAATCATTATATTCTTTCCTCAGCCAATCCAGAATGTACTCACTGATAATAAGGGTTATGTATTATGTTCTTTTTTATGCACTTTTATGTATTTTAGTGTATTTAATGCATGCATTTTGGAGTGTAGTTTATTTTATCAGTTGTTTTACTTATAAGAATTAAGCTTGTTGTCAGGAGCATTCCTTTAAATTGTGCTTGTTGTTTAAATAGGTGCTATGTGAATTATTATTATTACTATGTCATATACTGAAGCTAAATCTAACTGTGATGCAGCTTTGACCCCCTTCAGGTTGATTCTGAGTCATAATCTCGTGACAGTCCCAACATGGCAGCACCAACACACAGCCGATAGAAACACTGATATACAACCATGACATTTAGAAAACCATACCGTGCCTGATTTGGGGCACATAATGGGCAGAGCATAACAAAGGTCAGTCTGCTTCTCTTCAACCAAAACAATTTCCTGATTTGAACCTGTGAAAAAAACAAAACCTGTCTCCAACACTCAGCAGCATCCTGTGCACAGCGAGCACTGAAACTGACTTGAGTGAAATCTAAACCTGTTTACATTTTAACTTATCACGGTGTGCTGGTCATTCTAAAAAGACAAACGTTGGTGTCGGAGAAAAATAACATTTTCCTTCACTCTCAGTTTCTATGGACATGTTATTGCTTTGATCAAATCTCCACAGTCTTTAAGCTCTGCTATCAGCTCATGCTGCCATTCGAATCCCATAATAACAACACTCCCACCGCCGGGTGGGATGCCCTCCCCTCTCGTGCTCGCCATGGCAGGGTCTAATTCACTTCCTGTTCAGTAGGGGGCAGACAGGAAACAGGAAACACGCTTCCTGATTCTCTCAGGAGGTATATTTTTCTTCTGTTTGGGGGATCTGGGAACGACACATAATATCTTTAAGAAGTCGCACTTAGACTGCTGTAATCACAGCCTGCTGTAAAGAGCAACTGTTCTGCTTCTGGGCAGCACAGTTAGCGAGGGGAACTTGATATACAGGATAAAACGTAACACTGGAGATAATAGACAAACTGTTTATTGAAGCAGGAAAACATCTAAACCCATTTTGTGCTCTCAAAGCCCACAAGTCCACCAAAGGCTACCTAAGGTCTGGCCAGTTGCTGACATTCATAGAAAAGATCATTTATTATCTCAGCTCAGCCTTCATGTTGTAAGAAAATCATTTACAAGAACAACTAACGTCTCAAAAAGAACAGCGCAACAGTTAGTGAAAGTCTGGAGCACAATCAAAGTCAGTAACCTGTAGAAGATTTGCAGACATGGTTGTATGATTTAAGATAAACTGTGTAAATGTCACTGGTAAGGGATCAGTAGGATGCATGTTATCTTACATTGTAGGGTTGCAACTATACCAGAAATGTCGCATCCAAGTATTTTTGCCTCCAATCTGATCAGAGTTTTTTTTAATAATTATGTAAATGAACTGAACCTATTTACATAGACGTTACACAATTAAAGCACATTAAAGTTATTAAAATCAATCCGATGTAGGTTCTTGACAACAGAAAAGCTCTGCAATGCATTAAGAAAAACATTTGCATTTTAGCATCCAAACTGTTGCTTAATGTTCCAGAGGTGGTCAGGAAGCTTGTTGTGTGAAGCTGTCACTGACATGTAGTGCAGAGATTGTACTGTGGCTCCACAGGCTCCCAACAAAAGGCAAAGACCTGCAGTCTCTACAGTCGGGTCAGAAACTATATCGTACATCAGCTGTAGTACCTGGTTGCACCACCAGGTGAAGCCTCTTTCTGTTTATTAATGTAGCGACCTGAGGAAGCGTCGTTCGGACGACTGTGCATCAATTTTATCAAGCAAAGAACACTGTCAAAGTTTAGCTGGACATGGACACCATGACAAAGACTTCTGTGATGCTTAATGTCTTCCTCGTGTCTTTAAGACAAACCAGGACAGTTTTCCTATATTCCACTAGCATATCTAACAGAGCCACCTTTCCAGTCCAGATTATGTGTTCACCGACAACAAAAGCAACAGCCACACAAGACAAATGTTTACTGTGCTTAATCGGTCTTATCAATTAATTGGTAACTAAGAAAATTATTCAAAATTTGCATCCCTACTGCAAATTGTGCTTTTGCTTTAGAACACCTGTGTGACAACTGACAGAAACAAACGTCTTTTTCCCAATGTTTGAGATTGAACAGGGACATCTGACTCAACTGTGCTACTATGAATTCTAAGCTGTTGGCTGACATAGCCATTATTTTTCTAACTGATGAATCATTTTAGCTGTAAATGCAAAGAAGTAGTCGCTCAGCCAAACCTGATGTCTTCAGATGGTTTGTTCTGTCCCAAACATCCAAATTCCAGTTGACAAATGACATAAACATCATATGTGATGATTTGAACTGGAGAATACGTTCACTTTTTGCTTTAGGAATCACTGAAACAATAAAAATAAAACTCTGTGTTGAGATCATTTCAGTGCTCATCCATCTCCTCGTTGCTGTTTTAAAAGTTGGCTGCACCGTGCAACATGTTCCCCCAATAAAGGTACAGAGCTTAAAGAAAAAAACAATCTCAGTAGATGAGAGAGGGAGGGAAAATAATTGCTTATGTGGTAAACAAGCAAAATGGCTACAAATGTTAATAAGATGGTAATTACATTCAAAATCACGAGTTAATTCAATCACCTAATTAAATCCAACTCCATATCTATAATGCTAGTATTTTATCTTCTGCTGTGCATCTGTGTGCCTCAAACAGATCAGGGACAGAAAAAAAAACAGAAAATGTGCAGTGACAACAGCAGCACAATGAATTATGAATCAATACGAGCTACAGCTCTCTTCAAGTAGACACAGGCTGCTGAGGCCATCTGGGGATGCGTGAAAACCTCGACAAAGACAAACCCATTCATTCAGCTGTGAATGTGTTCGCCTGAGCCGGCTCTGTCTCCGCCACACTGCAGGCTTTCCTCAATTGGCTTCATCTTAAGTTTCCCAAATCCATCTTAGGGGATACGTATCTCTCCGTTCATTGATTGGAGGAGGTTTGGGGAGCGGCTCAGCACAGACCTGCAGTGCCGAGAATCTGCTGCAGCCGACAAGAGGCAGGTTTTCAGAACGTTCTGCCTTTCGCTGCAGTGGACTTTGGGTTAAACAGTCAGTCTCGCAGTGCCACTCGGCTGCTGTATATGAATACAAAACAGACACAGAGAAAAAGATTTCCATGCCAGGATGAGATCATTATTTTAAAGTGACTGAAAGCTGTCAATCAAGGACACACAAGCTCCGAGCTGCTACGGCTGAATTATTTTTGGAAAGACGGTGGAAATGCGGTGAAAAGGTAGCAATAAGGGGGGAATCAACAAGAGAACAAAAGACAGAGAAAGAGAGGTAGAAAGGTCAAGGGAGGCAGAAAGAGAGACAGATATTCAAAGGTTCCCATTCACTCACTGCCTCCCCTGAGTAATCCCACATCCCCCTGAGAGCAGCACACGGTGTCGAGCAGTCGGCGAGCTGACATTTACCGCCTGCCTTCTGTTGCTGTGATTATTTTCTCCTGCAGGTGTGATAGCCGGCCTGCCGTCTCTCTGCGATATTGCTGCCTCAGAGTTAGTGGAGCTGGGAGCGCCAGGCCAGAACGTGGCCCAGACAGACCTTTCACTGACATACCCTGAGCGAGTCGCGCTTTTTGAATCGGAGGTAAAAAGGTTGCCGCAGCGTGATTGGCAGCCCGTCACCCGGCCTGGAGGGAAATGGCACGCGAGGGGGGGATTGTGCATCGAGTGGAATTACAAAATAATCAATTCTTTTATCCAAGGGAGACGAGAGGACGTGAAATGAGGGAAATTCGAGCTGACCTCTCAGCTGCTTTTAAGTGCATGAACCCATTCCTACCTGTCTGCAGACGGAGGCCGGTCATTGCGGGCCTTGCTGACTTGGGTGTAGAGGGTATCGGAGTGCTGGTGCTGGTGGTGTGGATGGATGTGGGGGTGGTCGTCTCGAGGGCTGTGGGGCCGACTGTGGCCACTGTCAACGGAGCTGTTGAGGGCATTGATGCCGGCGTAAGGGTGCTCCTCCTCGGAGGACCTCTCAGGCGTTCGGCTTATGTCCAGGATCTCGGCATAGTCCCGTTCCCGGGCCTGACGCTCCCTCAGCTCCCTGGTCTTTGCTTGAATCCTGAAGGTGAAGATAAGGAAGATGTTAATACTGGAAATTTAAATCTTATCTGAATGTCTAAATGAACACAGTTTATACAGTTGTGAGCAAAACTTTCCAAACACTCATAAAGACCGTGTATATCATGGCAGTGTTGAATCTCCAATGAACCTGTAATTCCTGTAATGTATGCTGGTTCTTTTGAAGATTTGTTAAAGGTCTTCTGGGACTATGACAAAATCTGTTGTGTCATAAACATACAAACAGCAGTTCTAGTGTTTGGTTAAACATCCTTCAGCCACTTTCACCTTAACTAAACACTTCAAGTCGTCATCCACAAGCTTCTGGTTTAATCTTTGACCATCGTTCTTAATAGAACTGGTGCAATTCAGCTAAATTTGTTGTCTTTCTGACACACTTGTTTCTTCATAACAGTTGGGGTTATGTTGGCTATTGCATCCATAGTGTAAAAATTCCCATCAAAAATTAGCAGAGATCAAGACAGCATCTACAAATGGTTAAATTCAATATATTAGGAATTACAGAAAAAGCAAAAAACTCCTTTCATTTGAGATGAAACCATCATTTTTTCAGGAGAACACTACGAACAATAAACACTTAGTTTCTGCCCTGGGCTATTGTCAGTCTATTTTTAAGCTCTTATCTTGGTTAAGGCTATTAATACAACCTGCATCTTGTTTTCTCCAGAAGCAGTCGAAGCTATCAAGACATCTGGGCTGTCTTGGAACTGCATTGCATGTCTTTAGGCTACTTTATGTTGTCTGTGTCCCTATGCTGCTGTTAAATTTATGTATTACAAACTGTAAAAACATCTTGATCATATGTTACCTGAACATCCTGTAAATGCTGCTTTAACTTTTGAAAAAGTAAAATAAACAAACAAGAATATATCATATACTGTCACATGACTGACCACTAAAAGACTGACAGAAGAATACAGTTTAGTAATCAGTTGTTTTAAATTCTTCCAGGGCAGAAATGGCTTCTTTTGTTAAAATTCATCATGAGTTAATGAAGCCAGAAGAGGCAAGAAAAAGCAAACAAAGGACGTAGGTAATATAAAAAACTACTTTGCTGCTAAAATGACCACTCAGGTCTGGGCTCTTTGTTCGACTGTAATTCTACTGTTAGGAAGATTCACTGGAGAGTCAAACACGGATATCATTACCGGATTTATATATATTTGAAGGAATGAATCTCTATTACGTTTCAAGTAAATTATACATACTATAAATCCCAAGATCTCCCTCACAATATACAATTATGTGACCCAACCTTCCAAGATTTGCAAATGACTGGAGCTGACACAGAGAAAAGTAAATCAATCTGCAACTATTTTAATACTTGATTAGTCATTTAATTTTTAATCAGTAGGGCGAGAAATTTCCTGCTTCCAGCCAGTCAAAGGTGAATAATTGCCAATTTCAGCTTCTTAGTCTTCTGGGGAGTTTGGACTGTTGGTCTGACAGAACAAGACGTCACTTTTCAGTAATTTCAGACTGCATTCTTAACTTTAAAAAAAAAAAAAACCCTGACAGAATAATCAATAATAAAAATCATTAGCTGCAGCCTCAAAAAAAACCCACTTAAGTTGATAACTTAAAATATGGAAAGCAGCAAGTATTCATGCTTCGGTCATTGACAGTAATCTATAATTCAGGCCAAATCATGCTTTTCCACGTCCACATGTGGCCTACAACGGTACGCGGGATGTACATTCAGCCGAGCCTGCCAGGGTGAAAATATGACCATGAAGTTTGTCCGCAGTGCAAATGTGTCGACGGCACGTGTCAGGAAAACAAATGGTGCTTGAAACAAATGCTTGTTAGGAGAAGACACTGTGTGAGTAGATTCTCCATCATCCACACCTTCATAATTCATCACATGAAGAGTATCTGCTTCCTTCGACAGCAGGAAGTCCTAAATTCTCCAGATATCCTGTTCCTGTGCTATGTTCACACACCGTGCTTGGCAGGAATAAACACAGTGACTTTTAAAAAGCCCAATCAGCAACCAGCTCCTGAATCCTGTCAGAGATTCAGAAACATCCAAGAGAAGCTATCGTAGCATCAACAGACACATGTTCCACCGGTCCGATGAACTGGACTTTACTTGGAAAAAGAATCAATAAAATATTTAGTAGGACAACTGTATGGATGGCAGTGATGTTCTGTATGAATAATCGTTGAATCAGCTCCATGAGAAACTGAGCCCGGTGCTTTACTTGTTTCCACTTTGTTAGCTAAAACCTTAATATTGATAAAGTGAAGTCGTGTACACACTGTGGGGCTCAGAAATGTTGTAAAGCTAACAAAACAGCAGACAAACCCCTGTAACATCTGCTGATTGTTTATTGTGCCGTTTTAACTTTCCATTATAGAACAGAGAGAAGATGTGGAGTCTATTATTTATGTTTTTTTTTTCTTTCTACTCCCCCCCGACTGAATAATACCATAAACAATGTATAATAGTCTCTCGCTCCCATAACACCTCGTACAAGGGAGCGCTCTGTACTCGCACAGTGCCTTTAATGTATAGCTAACGTGCTTTTCTCTTTTTGTTTCCAACACAAACACCTCTGACATCTCTTCTGTCTTGCACACACACACCTACACACACACACACACACACACACACACACACACACACAACAGCCCAAACACACAAAAAAACACTCGCTCTTTCTCTTCAGGCCATTATCTTGTGAATAACTGGCAACACCATTTTCTATAGCAGGGGGGACTACCTATCGCGCAGCCCCGTAATTACAGCCTTGCCAATTATCAGAGCTTTACAACTACCAATTATCATACCGCTCTCTTTTCTGCAGGGCCCCTTTTTAATGGCAGTGGGAAAGCGAATGGGACAGGCGCGCTGGTGACGAGGTAGGGGGTGCAACTTCACTGAAAACTCAGCGGGCTGAAAATCTGAAATGCTTCCTCCAGAAAATTTGCATGCTGTGCATAATGAAACAGCAAGTCTAATATGGAGGACTCCCCATCGGAGAGCGCAAAACGTGGTCTAAAGGAAAACTGAGAGAAAATGGTTGGAAATACGACTAAAAAACGGGGCTGTTAATGAACTTGATGGCTTTAAGAGCTTCCCACCGAATCTGAAAGGAGGGTAACAATCTTTTCAAGCAAAAAGTACACTTATTCCAACTACTTGAAATGAAAACTGGTGGATTTGCACGCCGTGTCTTCACTACTTGTGGACTCAGCAATTATCTAATAGCACAGAAGGAAGTGGGGCCCTTGAGGGATCTATCTTTAAACCCAGAGGAAAAACAGTGTGTTCCATCAGAGAGAGCAGCAGCAGCAGCAGCAGCACTACTGGGAACAGCTACTGATTGTATACACAAGCGCAGTGGCTGATAAGATAAGGCCAGACATACCAATCCAGTGCAGCCCCTTTCCATAAGGAGTCAAAGGACGGGTCAACAGGGCCAGTTTGTGAGTGAGGAAGGATGCAGCTTTGAACCAGATGTGTCGTGTGAGAAAGGAGGCAATCTTAAGAGCTGCAGGATTAAACAAAGAGCTGCGTTTGTGAAGGTGCAACAGGTCTAAAATAAAAGAAATGTTCAACGCATTCTTGATTGTTGTTTCAATCAGCTGCATTGTTTAGTTCACAGAATGTGAGATAATAGTGAAAAATACCAATCAACAACTTGCAGAGACCAAAACAGTGTCTACAAATGGCTCAACCAAGAGTCTGAGGCTCAAAGACATCCAATTTACCACAAGACAAACTACACAAAAGCAAACAAATCTATCTGAGATGACAATCATGAAAAAAAAAGGTAAGGCTATTTTCAGAGTAATTTTGGGATCTTTAATTTTTAAACTCATCTTCGCCATTTCAGTGGCTACCCATACATTCTGCATATAGTTTTTTTTTGTTTTCAGAACAGTCTAAGTCATACAGATCCTCCATCATTTCATATAAAAGTCTTTACATCTCATATATCTCACAATAAAATGCTGAAAGTAGAGATATCGTTCAATAATTGTGTCAGCAAACTGTCCGAAATCTGGCAATATCAGAACCTTGATGGCAGAATGTTGTATGGACTTCAGAACAATGTGTGCTAAACATAAATAAATGTCATTATTTTATTAATTGAAATGTTTACAAACACTTGCAGGTAATTTCCCAGACTGGGATAAATAAAGTATTTTTCTATTCTATTCTTCTATTCTAGGTACAGAAAACTGAGTAAATACTTTAAGTATCTCTTGTATTACATCATCTGTTCTTACTCTACTTTCCCAGCGTCCTTCACTTCCTGCTGTCTCAGAAAATCAACAAAATGTTTGTAATCATCTTCTCGTCATCACCAACATGGCCAGCTATCTGTTGTTCTCAATAACTACCTACATACGTTCAGCAAACAGCTGCTTGGCGCTTCAGTAAACAGCTGTGAGTCTGGGAGGAAAGAAATGTAAGTAAAAAGTTTATTTTTTATACAAGGGCATGCAGCAGCACATTCATCCAGTGTCAGTGGTTTCTATGGATGTTTTTGATTGACTTTTCTTTTTTTTTTTTACCACATAACTGGGTCACTATTGGAATCCATTGTAGCAGGAGTGAATTGAGGATAACTGCTGCTGTCATCCTCCACAAAAGAGCAAGCTTTTGAAAATGTCCAACTCCTCCGAGCCGCCTTTAAAGCCCACAGGGAGCGAGCATTCGGTGTAGCGTTGCTTTAAGACAAAGTCTCCATCTCTATATGTCAACATGACAAGCTCTTAAAAAAAAAGCAATGCTGCTAAAAATAGCTCCCAAACACAATTATGCTGATTGAAATGGAACAGGAAGGAAAACCACACTCGGCCTAATCATTACCTTGTCAGTCCCTTACATACGCAAAACACGGTTTTCTTTCTAACCTTGATGAGAGATGAAAATACTCTTAGCATGAAAGGTGAATGATTAAGAAAAGCAATGAGAGGTAGGAAAAGAGCCAGAGGTTGAACAAAAAAAAAAAAAAAAAGCTGAGCAGAAAGAGAGGAAGAGGCAGCAGATAAAAGGCTATAGAAATGGCAGGATGGGACATTACGGTAGAAGAAATGTATTTGACGAGTGACCTTTCTACCACATCAGGCCAGAACAATGGTCCATTATGTGCCATTGTGCTCGGAGTGTAATAAACCGTCCTCTTAGCGGTAATGCTGACACAACTGACAGACTGCTGTGAAAGGCAGGAAGTACACGAAGGGAGAAGGTCCAGCGGGATAAGATGGCTGCTAAAAGTCCTTCTGGATTGATAACATGCGTGTTTGGACTTGTAGCATGATTTGGTGACAGGTAGCCTTAGCATGTTTTAAAGGACTTTCTATGGTCTTTGTGGGGAATTTTGACAACACATTCATGCCTTAACAAGCAGCTGCCAAGGAATTAGCAACATCTTTTGAATGTCTTCTACATCTATGCACTGTCTGTGATACAGGAAAACACAAGCGCCTTGTGCACTTGCTGTTAAACTTGAATAGGAGTACTGAGCAAGTGTGCAGGTCAGGAGAAGTTCACTGAGACGAATGGCTTCATATACAGCACGCTGCCTGCTGTATAGATTGAACTTGTAACCTCTGGACTTATGACTGCTTCTTAAAACAGTTGCTGAAGTCAAAGCTTGGTGGGATTGAGTCCACAGATGTCTAAAGCAGAAGTTGTTGTGTGTGTTGGGTCAATTTTTGGCCAAAATACCTTGTAGCATCCAATATCTGAATCAGTTTTACTGCCAAGTGGGTTTTCACACGGAACTTGACATGATCACAGTAAACACTGGAAAGTAGAACATTTCTAAGGAAGGATAACAAGAAGAAAACAAAAGCAAGACAGACAGCAAGTGCTGCAAGACAAACATGATGCATTGTGTAAAATACTAAATTATTATGTTTTGACTTCTGAATCTCTGGATGGAAACCATTCATGTCAATAGGTGTGACTCAATGTTCCCAATGTAATGGTCTTAACATAGGTTCAAATGTGCATGTTTCTAACATGTTCAATCTCATTCAGGCTAATACACATTTATGTCCATATCAGCTCTTCAAATGTTGATATCATCCACCCCAAACAGCAGCGTACCTTCTGAACTGTCTGTCTGGATTCATCCCGAGTCCTCTGAGACCCGAGACTTAAACCTGTGAGGAAATCCATCTATCTAGTCAATCACAGCTGGATTACCCGTAGCCTCCAGCGGTGGTCGATCAATACGCTCTGCAGCAAGGTGCCAAAGCTCCCGGGTGAACCTTTTTGGCGGGCAGCTCGGTGAAACAGCTAACCGGATCGTTGCTTAACACCAAAGCAGCCACACGCTCGGTGGGATCTCCCCGTCAATACCAGTATATCTCGGCTAATGGGTAAATACAAACAAGAAGCGTGTTTGTGCTTTTGGGGTGCTCGGGGATGAGGGAGCGCTTGGTTGGAGGGAGTCTAACACCCGACGCTGAATGAAATAATTAATGCACTGACTTGAGAAGTACTGTCAGATGATCCCAGGACAGCTCCTGCCCTTTGGATGCAGAAATTGCCCCCCTCCATTCTGCTGTTTTGTTCTTCCTCATCTACGAATTTACCCGACTTCTCTTTGCTCTTTTCTGCACTGAGAAATCTATGTGGAAAACCACTAACAAACAAAAGAACAAATAGATGCACAAAACAAATAACCCACCTACTACAAAGCCTCAAGGACAAATGTGAAAAAACACGTATAAAACAACACAGTCTACCTCCATTAGCACCTGGAAAAAGACAATTCTGCTCCAAACAGATTTAGACTGAGCTTATATAAGGGCCCCAACAAGCTTTCAATTCATTTTCTTTACATTTTTAATTCAGATTCTTTCTATTTATTTTCTAAAAAAAACACAAATTGAGACACACTTCCCATAACAGTATAGAAAAAAGTTGTCGAGACTTCTGCAACATCTCAGGATCTGAAATGTCCACATCTTGGAGGACAATAAAGAATAAAGGAAAATGTTTTCTATTTCTTCTACTCTGAATTCAGGAAAAATACAACTGAACCCACTGTGGTTTTGTGTCCTGACAACACACTTTAAACCTGTACAATGAGTTGACTGAATGAATGTAAGGGTGCACTTCACTGGTGCCTGCATGTGTGCAATAACACAGATGAGGTTTGAAGGGTCCAAGCTGCGTGAAACTCCATCACGGTAATAAATGCACGTTACTGCGACATTTGAGGACAAGAAATAACAGAGGGGCCACGGTTTGGATTAACATACAAAAGGACCATTCTGAACTTTTAACAATATCCAGCCTAACAACCAAATCATCTGACGTGGCATTTGCGCTAACCTTATGCCAATTAAAAATAAAGACTCAGCCATTATCGTATTATTGGACTATCTGCTCTGCAGGCGTAAAGAAAGAATACAAACTAAATTTTCACAACGAGCAACTGTGGGGAGTAATGACTCCTGCCCTACACCAAGAGCATGGGAATTAATTAGCTGGCAGGGCTGTAATGGCCTTGGCATTTATAAGCTGCCGCCCCCAAAAAACTGGCACAGTGCCCGTCTGACATTTAGTTTGGTGGAGAGAGAGAAAGCAATGCAGTCAGGAAAGGGACTGAGAGTCTTGGGGCTGTTTGGTTTGGGCTGATCACCTAACAACAGTGAAAAACTCCATCACAGTGCCCCTGTATGAAGGAGTTTATTGACATAGCAGGAAGTGTCCGTTTCATTTGATCTATAAAATCTAGAAAATGGGATTATTTAGTTTGGATTCTTTAAAAGGATCTGAAAATCTATAAATCGAGTGCAAATATATCGACACAAATGTCCACAGACTTTGGGTTTGGTGCTGTTTAAATGGTTTTGATTTCAGACAGCACGCTTCTAAGTTTGCTTTAACAATTAAACAGGTACCCTGTCCTGGTCCAACATGACGATGCCCCGGTGCAGAAAGTTTCATCCATAAAAGTTTTTTTTTGTTCTCCAGCTGTAGAAGAAGTTGACTGTCCTGCACTGAGCCTTGAACTCCACGATGTCACTGTTAAAGAATCTCATTTAACCCTCTGAACCCCAAAACCTGCCAGTGGGTTGGAAAGCGTGCTGTGCTTAAAAAAAAAAAAAAAAAAGAAGGAAAAAAAGTCAATGTTCCACAGAGCCAGAAAAGAATGATCAGATTTTCAACTTGGTCCTTAAAATAACCATGTCATCGATATTTCACTTTGTTCTACACGCCTCATTTAAAAATTTGTCAAAAATAAACCGTTTGCATCAGACCCACACAACAAAACTTCAGGGACTTTTCAGCCTTAACTGCAGGTTGCATGAACACAGAGAGAGCAAAACACAATCTATCTGTAAAATAAATGCAGCATGGCTCATGAACAGGATGCAGAGGAGCAAGTTGTTGGAAGACACATTCAGCATGGTGGTGAAAAGTCTTTCTAGATCTGCAGAGTAGTGTGAGAAAAATTCTTAGATTAGAGAGTTTGCTTAAGTTTAATAATTAAAACATCTATATAACGCGGGGGCCAGTATTGGTGATCCAGCACTCGTAAAATCTGCTGACATTTGGATAGATGTACAAACAAATTGAGTAAAATACTAATCAAAGGAATTGAACTTTGATTGTTTTTTTTTAAAATTTATGGCATTATAATTTTGTTATCCTGCACTTTTGAGTTCTCTTTCCTTCTGGTCATAGTTGTGCTGTTTCCAGGTGCAGGACTTGATTTTGCAGTGAAAAATGAGCTCACAGTGAAGAAAAATGTGAGCCAAAAATGCAGAGAGAACGGTTGGTGTTTGGAGGGTTAAAGCGCTTATTTTTTCTTGCTTTGATAAAAAAAAAAATGGGTTAAATATTTAGATGTCCAGATACTTTTGGCCACAGAACGTCAACTATCAGCTAATGTGAGAAAAGGAACAAAAAACAAAACAAAAAAAGAATGAGTGAAGACAAACTAGCCACGGTTATCAGAAGACTTACAAATTACAGCTAAAATGTGTTCTGTAGCCTATAAGCTTTAACATTTAATAACTCTGTTCAATTAGAGCACAGAGGGAGGCTGACAGGGGCAGCGGCCGGGAGACAACACAGCGCTTTCATTTGCATTTTCACTTTTGTAACAGGGATCAGGGCTATTTAGACATACGTAGAAATGTTCGACCTAAAAGCGCTGTGAGTGATCCCAAGAACAATAAATTGCTCCATTCATTCGGTTCACTGTGCGTCGTATGGCTTTGTGAAGCTGCAAAGTTATGACCATTTTTTCCTCCTCTTTGATATTGGAATCCCAGAGGAGCAAATCACGACCGTCCAGAGACAAAAGGACCTTAATTTAATAAAATTAAAAAATACAATTTACCAACGTTTAACATTCACCGTCTCACCTCTCCTGCTCCATCCTCATTTTCATCGTCTCCTCCTCCGACACCTGAGTCTCCTCCGGCCTCCACTTGCTGGAGCCTTTGCGATCCATCTTCTCTCCCGGCCGCTCGTCCTTACGGTGCTTCCCAAACCTAAAAGCACAAAAAAAAAACATGCACGATTATATTAATTTACTGCATTTACGGAACTATCTTGCAAAGCGTAGCTGCGATGATAATACCTTTGCCTGCCAGAGTCTCGACAATAACCCAGTGTTGTCACAAAAACACCCCGCAGGTATGACTTAACACTCTATCAAGGCCTCAAATGAAGCATTTGAAAAGTACTTCTCACAAGTTCAAACCCAATTCAATTCGTTTAAAGTTGTGGAGGAGGCGTAGACGCAGCCCATCACAGTAATTATATTCATAGGGAGGGAGTGACGCTTAACGAAATAGGAGCTATTGCAGAGATATTTCAGCTTGATTGACTCAGTATAAAGCTGCAGCCTGTTGAAGAAATGACTTTGGCACTGCGCTCGCTTCCACAATGAACCGCCGTGATTATTCACAGGGAAATTGGTCCACAGAGAATATCTACGACTTCGAAAGAGACAACGCCGAGAGAAACCAAAGAGGTGTGTGTGTGTGTGTGTGTGTTAATGAAAGAGACTGAAGACAGTGAACAAGAGACGGCGGAAAAAAAATGAACATGCAGAAGAGAAACTCACTGAATGAAACATTAAAACCAGAAACTAAACTGTGGTGAAGACAACCTTAAGAGGTGTGTGTGTGTGTGTGTGTGTGTGTGTGTGTGTGAAAATCACACCATCAAAAGCAAACCTAAGAAGCGGAAAGTGAAGAGTGTTCAAAGATGAAAGAGAAAGAGTGTAAATTGCCTGGATATGATTGTTAGAAAGAGGAGGGAAAAGAAAAAGAGAGTGAAATGTGAGGCAGGTGAATGTGCTGTTTGCATGGAAATCAATACAGAAGAAAGAGGACTGAAAACAATAAAGCAAATCAAAGCGAGGTACACGTGAAGAACGAACAAAACAAGAAAATGATTGTGCCGAACAACAAAAACCCAGTGGTGAGAGTGTGTAGGAGTGTGTGAAACACCGGCAAGCAAAACAGAAAGAAGACAACAGCAGCGCACGGGGAGAGAAAGGTGAGAAGGAAACAACGAATGAGAGAAAAATACACGAGAATTAAAGAAAATCCAGAGAATTGTGTAATTCTGTGTGCGGGGAAATTAAATAAATGAGAACAACGGGAAAGGACAGAGAGGATGAGAATAAAGAAGGAGAGTAAATGGAAAAATGATTTGTGTTCTTGGATCAAAGGGTGAGAGAAATCAATAAAAATCAAACCGTTACCACAAAAACTCAGATGTTTCATGACTTCTCCCACTAACATACGTAACTATGTTGGACTGGAAACTTATCTTGCCTTGTTTATGGTGTTTACTTGGGACATTTCAAATGCAAAAAAACAGTTTTATGGCCTGAGTGAATTCAGATTTATGCATAAAAGTGGTATTTTACAAGGGAATGCTTTAACTTGATGGATGAAGTCGTGACGGAGTTGTGGTTGAAGTCCAACAAACGCTGAGCTTCAGTGTTTAGCAGAACTGCATGATGGGATCCGTCTGTGAATCGCACACAAACACACAAAGAAGATGGCGACTAATAGCTTCATCATTGCGACATGAGCTGGTGATTCTAGTTACTAGTTACTTTATTCAGGGGTAGAATGGTTTCTCGCATATTGAAATTTGAGGTTATGTTTGATCGACAGTATCTCACAAACTATTAAAGATAAAAGTCTGAAAGTTTCCCTTATTTCTCGCCATGACATTAATTTGGAATCTGCAATATTGGACAAGCCAAATAAAGGTGTGTCCGATTATGGGTGAGTTAAAATATATTTTAAAAAAATTGAAGCCATCATGTAAAGTCACATTTTTTTTTACCAAAAATGTACAAAAATATATATATTTATATATAATGCAGAAGTCAACTAGTGTTACTGTCTGAACTATGTAGATGCAGGTCACAATTATACAAAACAAAACATATAGAATAAGTTTTAATTTTAAATACTTGGTCACAAAGAGTCACAAAAAAATGTATTTTAATTGAACTTTTCATAACTGATATGACAGTTTGTACCACATAAACGTGTATCCCACTTTGTAGGCTTTGTGCTACCATGTCTGTTATACTCATTGAATTCTAATACGTTTGAAGGTAAACACTGTTGTAGCTTCACATGAGGACACCTCTGAACTCCGTACCACTGTGGTCTGCTACATGTGCTGCACACAGTGCTGAGTCATGGGTTCAAGACCCCTCTGCTGGACAAACTGCATGATCACACCATTTCTAAAATACCCCAAGCATTGTTTTCTGCATTATGTTCTGTAAAAAACAAAGATAAAGTAAATAAATAAATAAATATGACTGCATGCTGATGCCCATAAATCCATAACAGGCTTTCTGAAACGATCCCCATGGAGCATTGTGGTACCCACTGGATCTGAGATACTGATCATGTGAATGGTCTCTGCTTTGAGTTTGGCCCATGCAGCATGTTGTAGTCTGCTTATCCTCCCATTTCTGGTCACTATCTGGTATCCAAAAAAAAGACAAAACAAAACCCAAAATGAATCTGAGATGACCCAAGACAGTTTCCAATCTGTGGTGTCAATTGTCCACTAACTGGCTCACAAGTGTCAATAAAAATGGCCGTCTACTAGTTTTTCCAGTTTTACAGCGAGCAAAACCTCACAAATGACAACAGACACTGATGCCATCAAGTGTAAAAGACAAACCGAGGAGGAAAAAGTGCAGCTGGAAGGGGGAGGAGCGCAGACTAAGGTCCATTACCTGATTAATTTAACTGCTGCCGTCTAAAATGCTCAGAGTGACAGGCCGCCGTTAATGCTAAGAGCAGGAGTGATCTATCACACAGGGAGACGCTTGACACTTTCTCTCTCCACACCACTAACTTTCATTAACAGCCCCTTAAAAAACAGGCTGGAGATGCACACATACGTACACAAACACACGCACAAAGATTTATGACTGAACGGGAAAACTTTGAAGAGGAGACAGAGTTTAATAATCTTATATTCCAGGCACAGTTAGGCCCGACGCCATCGATAAAGAGGCTTTGACGGCTTTCTGCGGTTTGAAAAGATCACTTCAAAATGTCAGGGATTCAGCAGATTCCATCCAGCAGACCACACCGGTGTCACCGCTAATCCTTCTAACAGCACAGAAAGTGAAAACAAGTCTTTGGTGGCATTGTGGGCAGTCTTTGTTGATATATTGGATATTCTGGACGGATTTCAGATGAATTTAGGACGACCTCAACTTGCCTGATACTTACTAATACTAGTGATGACATGACTCCGCTCACAGGTCACAATTTTCACTTGTGCTCATAACAGGAAAGAGCTAAAATGATTCCTATTAGCCTGAACTGTGTGTTATGTAAGTTACGCATGTCAGCTTTGCGTATGCTAACATATTTGCATGCTAACATGTTA